TTATCATTAAGCGACGCGTTATTTTCTTTATTCCGCGTCGATTCATTGTTTCAAATATTATAATTCACTTTTAATGAATCGAGGCATTGCATCGTTATTTTCTTTATTCCGCGTCGATTCATTATTTCAAATATTATAATTCACCTTTAATGAATCGAAGCAATGCTCCGATTACGATTAGGCTATACTTTTATTTTTATATAAGTACTCGCTCTTTCTCTTTTTCTTTTCTTTTTTTCATTCAACTTCTCAACCTTAACACCCAACTTCTCCCTCAACCTCAACACCCAACTTCTCAACCTTAACCTCAACACTCAACTTCAACTTCTCAACCTTAACACCCAACTTCAACTTCTCAACTTCAACACCCAACTTCAACTTCTCAACCTCAACATTCAACTACAACCACATTCAACTTGGGTAATTATTTTCCTTTTGATTCCTTGCTTTTTAATTCTTTGCTTTAAGCTAATTATTTTCTTTATTTAGCAATATCGATTCCTCTCTTTCATAACGCTATAGTCGAAGTCAACCTTTTTAGCACCGGTAGCAACAAGCTAATCAACGAAATACTTAGTCGCTATAAAGATTTCGTAATCGTTTATGTTAATAATAACGTTGTTAATTCAATGTTTATTTGCTATAATAAGAAAGATACCGCTTTGTTTCCAAGACTAATCGGCCTCGATTACAAATAAAAAGGTCGCAAAGGTTTTGTCGACGAGTTCGGCATTAAGCATTACGATGCTAACAAGGTTAGTAATAACATCTATATTTTATAATCACTAATTGATTTTTTATTTAAAAAAAGAACGCTCAAGTCCTTTGTCTCCTCGACCACTTTGTCTTTTTCCTTAACTTAATTAGAAAGCAATTCACTTATAAAGATATCAAGGTTCGATTGATCTTAAGTGATCTTACTCTTAAGCTTTTCGATAGCGATCATGCCGAAGCTAAAAGCATCTTGAAAAAGCTATTAATGCTATACTTTTTCACTATCGATAGCACCTTAGCATATAAACGCTTTACTTTTAAGTTCTCGGATAAAAATAAGTTTAAGTAAAGCAATAAATGCTAAAAGCTAAAAGAGCTACTTAAGTCAAACGAGATTTATTTAAACTATGCTTATAAGCAAGAGCTTAAGCTAAAGGCGGAGACCGAGTTGACCGTATTCTACGTAATTGCAAAAAGACGGGTCTTTATCAACTCTTTGTAACTAGTAGACTTAAGCTAAAGAACGGGTCTTTACCAACCCTTAGGCCTTTGTAACTAATAAATTTGATTAATACTTTAAGTCTCTGATTAGTAAATGTGATTAATAAATATGATTAATAAATGTGATTAATAAACCTGATTAGTAATTATGCATATGCATATTTTTATGTATATAAACCCTATAGAATAACCTTACGCCTTATAAGGTTTACCTATGAGAAAGGGCAGAATTTTGTACCCCTCGTGGGTTCCCCCGTAAGAAGGACTCAAAACTCCGTGGGGCCCCATGGGGCCCCATGGAGCAGCCTAGATCCGGAAGGACGTATTTGCGCTAGCGAAAGGCCATTCGTAATTGCTCTACGAAGGACTCCAATTGAGCGATTCTCGTAAGGGGGGAAGGGCCGTCGTCTTCGTAGGAGGACATAGTGGTGGAAATAGAAGGGGGCGTTTCAATGTCGGAAACGCTAGAAAAAAGAGTGGGGAAGAGAGTTCGTCTTATAACCGAAGTGCAAAAATTGAAAAGGAGAGAGCTCTTTTAGGTCGGAAGAGCTGAAGAAAAGGTGAGGTCGTAAAGAAGAATAATAATCTATAAGCAATAAAAAGACCGTGGAGCACCTAACAAGTAACTCACTCCGTTCTTGACAATAATCAATAAGCCGTAATCTGTAAGCTGTAACAATAATCGATAACAATAAGCTGTAATACGACGACCTAATCGAAGGACTTTGTATAATGTGACGAACTAATGAATTCCGACCTTAGAATACAAAGTGAAGAGAGGAAACAGGAAGCTCGGAGAGCTCAGGAAGGTCTATATACATGGCTATAAGCGCTAAGCCTGGATGGGTGATCAGCTGATGCAGGTAACAAGGCAGGCTGTCACAAAAAATCGCGATTTGTATTAAGAATAAGTCAATAATAAAAAAAGCTATAACAAGAAAAATTAGATATACGAATCCAGATAAGGGAATTATACTTGATTTATAAAACATATTATTTATTTTTATTATTAAAATAAGTAAAACCAGGGCAAAGGACTGTGACGACACGCCAGGTCTCCTGGACGCACCTTATATGCGCCAAGCTACCTCCTTCCTTTTTTCCTTCGTATTCTTCGTATTCTCTTATTCCCCGCTTTTGACTTATAAACCATGGTTCACGAGTCCTTAGCGCTTCTGCTTTCGTATATATAGACCTTAGCTACCTTCGACCTTTATACTCGGTAGTTATTGATTTTAAGTTATTACTTTAAGATTTTCTTAAGCTTTTATATGAACTTCCGCGCTCTCGTAAGTTCCTTTAAGTAATCGCTTAAAGTCGTTACAAAGACCAAGTTCTTTATAGTATTACTAATATGACGACCTTAAGCGATTACTTAAAGGAACTCACGAAAGCGCGAAGGTTTATATAAAAGCTTAAGAAAATCTTAAAGTAATAACTTAAAATCAATAACTACCGAGTATAAAGGTCGAAGGTAGCTGAAGTCTATATATACGAAAGTAAAAGCGTTAAAGACTCGTGAACTGTAGTTTATAAGTCAAAGGCGAAGAATAAAAAAATACGAAGAATACGAAAGAAAAAAAGAAAGAAGTAGCTTAGCGCATATAAAGTGCGTTTAAAAGACTTAGCGTATCGTTACACTACTTCTTCGTCCGAAAAAAGCTCGTCTTCGAGCGTTTATCTATTGCTTTATTACTACTCAAGTGATCGTAGTTATTAATACCGTCCGAACAAGCTTTGATTTATTTAAAGAGCTTCGCGAAAAAGCCGAAGAGCTTTTTATATTTTAAGTGAAAGTCACGTATTTTAAAAAGAGCGTATATAAAGTCGAAAGCGAAGTACTAAGTAAAGTCAATATCGCGGCCGAGCTAAAAAGCGCAATATTTAAAGTGCTTTTTAATTTAGCGTACGGCTAAGATGTTCTTTATTTCGTACTTAAGTTCGTTAATAATATTAATCGAGTTAAGTTTAAAAATAACTTACTCGAAAGTAAAGTCATTAAGAGCTTTTCGTAGCCGTTCGAAGTAAAAGATTAAATGAACTTCTATTAACTTAAAGAGCTTAAGTTTAAAGCTGTTATAAACGTTATTAATAACTTCGAACGGTCCGTTCGTAAGGTTATCGAGCTTCTTTAACGGTCGGAAAGTAAAGAACGAGCGTATGTTTAATTAAACTTTATTATTAACGTCGAAGTTAATCGAGCGCTTTAATTTATTAGCTTGTTTAGCTATGCGGTTTTAAGCGCGTTAAAAGTGCTCTTTAACGAAGTTTTAAGCTTCGAAGTAGCGGTTAGCGTAAGCGCGAGCTTCGTTTTAATTAAGCTTGCGAAAAAAGGTTTTATCGTTAAGTCGTTTTAAGCTTTAATTCTAAGTAGTACGAAAAGCGTAGCCGTAGATTACTTCGAAAAAAGAGAAGCCGCCGAAAGGGTCGTAAAAGAGCGTTAATTAAGCGAAGTCTATAATAAAAAGGAACTCGCTTTAATCGTCTTAATAATAGCTTACGAAAGGACGGAAGCGTTTTTGCAAGTATTAATTATAAATTTCGGTCTAACCGTTAGTCTTAAAGTATACGGCGGTGCTAAAAGTCAGTTTAATATCGAAGATCTTATTAAACTCTTTTCAGAATGTGACGACACGCCAGGTCTCCTGGACGCACCTCACATGCGCCAAGCTACTTCCCTCTTTTTTTCCTTCGTATTCTTCGTATTCTCTTATTCCCCGCTTTTGACCCATGAACCATGGTTCACGAGTCCTTGGCGCTTCTACCTTCGTATATATAGACCTCAGCTACCCTCGACCTTTACACTCGCTAGTTGTTGATTCTAAGTCATTACTTTGAGATTCTCCTGAGCTCTTATATAAACCCCCGCGCTCCCGTGAGTTCCTTCAGGTAATCGCTTAAGGTCGTCACACAGAACTCGGATTAGTATTAAAGTCTTTTATTAAAAGTTAATATTAAAAGAGCTTTAAAATACTTATAAATATAATAAATATAAAGCTTAGCGAAGCTTTTAACGTCGATAGACTTATAATAAAAGATCGAGATTGCTTGCTTAAAAAAGCAGTTAATTATTATAAAGACGTTGTCGTAGCCGTGTTTGTCTTTACCAGGGCAAAGGACCAAGTTCTTTGTAGTGTCACCAACGAGCTAATTATTCGATTTATAAAAATCTTTATATATTTAAGTAAATTATGAAATAAATAATAATAGAAACTGAATAAATCTAAAAGTAATCGGCGCAAGAAATAATTTATCTAATTATTTATTATAAAAAAGAAACCTCTTTAAATACTTCTTTTTATAAGGGAGACCTTAGACCTTTTTAAGAATTACTTATATTTTAATAATTTAATATAAGACGAGGACCCCCTTAAACCCCCTTTTACTAAAAAAACCTCAGACCCTTTTGCGAATTACTTATATTTTAATAATTTAATATAAGACGA